GCATGCGGGAGAACCCCCAGCAGCCAGTGCAGCCAGGCTGCAAGCTACCCACACTGAACAGCGAACATGTGTTCAGTTGGGCCTCGCTCTAACTTATTGCACTTTGAGCACCACGCTAAGCTAGAGTGCTTCTGGAAGGGGCTTTTTGATCATCCGTACTTAGACTTAGAGAATTTACTTTCAGATTCACTTCACTCACAACGCTTTCTTATGTCCAAAGTTCAGCAATTTATTGTAGAGAATTCTAATATTCGACAATCAACTTCCAGTGGTTTCTCAGACCTTATAGTATCTAGCATTTTATTAATTGACGGCAGGAAATGTTTTAATCTAGCTCTCCTTGAAAATGGTTTATCTCTTACTGTGTTATTCAATACACTTTCCTGTAACTTTTTCCATGAATAGAAAAGGAAGTACAAAGAGAAGTCCAGTACATCATTTGTGAGATTTGTTTGGAATAATAAAATGATAGGGTTATGTCTGACAATATGGCAAGAATGTAACACTAATGGTGATTGGTCTTTCACAGGTTTAGAGGCAGGGACCTGGACTGGGCCCCAGACCAAGGGGAAGCTTCAGCTCTCACTCTCAGCTGCACACTAGGAAAAGTTTGAACCTAAGTCATCCCTTGCCTCTGCCAACCATGTAAGGAATTAGCCCACCCAAAGCCTGCATTAGAGTCCTTTTCCTCCAGTACTGCAAATACCTCTTGTGGCAGTGATGGAATTTTCTATCCTGGCAAGCCCTCTATTCTTTAGTAGGGGCTTGCAAAAAAGAGTCTCTTTTGAACATGGTGCATCTCCCCCATAGCTCTCTCAGATGAAGGAGCCATCAGGCTTCCAGGTTGAAAAAGCAAGCCAGGAAGAGGGTTGGCCTTACAGCTTCTCCATTGGATAGCAACAAGGAATCCACAGGGCCACAGACCTGGCTGGTGGTTGAATCCAACCAAATTGTTCAAGGGCTCATTCCCTAAGTCTGGGATCCACTCACTTTCCTGGGAATGACTATAGTTATGGGGCAAAGGCACTATCCAGAGTCTGGGAAGTAGCCCAGTAGAATGAGTGCCAGCCTGTCAAGGCTGAGTGCCTCTTTTTGAGATTTCCATCTGCTCTTGATTTTCTTGCTGTGTAGTTTTTTACGCTCCCTCTCAGAAGTCTGAATTTTCTCATCCACAAAGCCAGGTGGAAAATTCACTGAGAGTTCTAACATAATCATAAGGACAGAGAGCTGGAAAGGTCCTCAGGAGATCCTCTACTCCACATCCCTGCTCAATGCAGGATCATCTCTGTCCAAACCATCCCAAAGAGGTGGGGCAGTAAAGGTTTGAACTTAGTTTCTCCCTGCACTCGCTCCATTTTGTACAGGCAAAAACCATGAGGTTCCTGCACCAGGAGGGCAATCACTTGTTCATTGCTTAGGGTCAGTTATGAGAAGTGTTGAGCACTTGCACGTAACACTAAAGTCCAATAACCTTACAGTGAGGACATCTACATGAGACACTGACTGTGCAGTAGCCAAAAAGTACTGCGCAGTAGCACATCACAGCATGGGCAGTGCTAATATGCTACTGCACAGTATTATTAGGCTACTGCACAGGGGTGTCACCTAAAAGACATTTGCTAGTGCTACTGCACAGTAACTACTATTCCTGCACATTTATTGAGTACTTGCTAATAATACTTGCTAACTCTCTACATGAGATAAGACTGCGTGGTCATTACTGTGCATTTATTTAATACTTGTATTGGCAAGTACTAAATAAATGCACAGTAATGACTGCACAGTAGCATCTCATGTAGATGCGCCCAGTATTTCTTCAGGTCAGCCCCTAAGCTGCAAATTCCTCTTTTCTTTTCTTTTCTTTTCAAATGGTTCATTTGAAATGCTATCCTCCTCAATACATAATCCTGGATCATTTTTAAGTTCAGCTATGTTTGCACCATCATGGCATGCTTAGTGTTAGATGCTACTCTCACTAGGCAACAAAAGCAGATCCAAGGGAGGTGCAGTGGTATAGTCCCATTCCCCTTCCACAGTGTGGGTCACATGCAGGAGGCTCCACTGTGGCCCAGACGCCTTCAGAGTCCAAGGTGCAGCTGCAGTGGGAGACTTAGGAGTCTTAGCCGGGAGCAGGTGAGGAGGTGGGAGGGACCCCCACAGCAGCCGGGGGTCCCTCCTTGGCTTGGCTGGGATGATCTAGTTGGGGATGGTCCTGCTTTGAGCAGGGATTTGTACTAGATAACATCCTGAGGTCCCTTCCAACCTTAATTTTCTATGATTCTATGATTCTATCTGACCTGGGTGCAGGGAAGCCCCAGGCCACTCCTGCCCCTGTCCAGCTGGAGAGTGACTGCATGGGATGCCAGGCTTGGTGGCAGTAAGTGGGTCCCTGCTCTCTGACCCTTCAACTATGTTTCCCCCCTCTGAGATGTGGGTCCAGGTGCAGGAAATGGCTATGTGGGATACCAAGCTGGGCCAAGGATAGTAGCAGCGCTGGGTGGTTCCTCCTCCAGCACCTACTCTCAGCCAGCAGGGGACACCCAGAAGGACTAAGCAGGGAGCAAGAGCTCCTGGAAAACCCACTCCATGCCCACCCCCCTGCATTGCTGATGCCCCAGCCAAGCCTGGCACCCTTCTCTGCCGCTTACAGAAACCCCTGCATAGAATGGGACAGGAGAAGCCCTGGGACTTCCCTTGCCCCCAGGTCAGCTGGGGACAGCGGTGATTAAAACTTGTTTTCTGGAGACATGATATTGCACCTCATATACCTGTAATATCTATTGTATTTATTGTGAATAAGAGTGCCATTATATCTGAAAGCTGATATTTTAAATGTAAATGGAAAAACCTGAATCTCTTAAGCTCACATAACTAAGGTAATGGACTACTTTAAAAACTTCAAGGAAATGCTTTGTCAGAGAAAATGATTTTTCATGAGAGAAATGTGATTGCTGTCCTTTTTCATAATTTGGTTCAGTGAAATATCCTACTTTCCCTTTTGACAAGCAAACACATTTTAAGGCTTTCAAGACTTTTAGGTGAAAATAAAATTTCTTTTTATACTATGAGTAACCCAGAATACTATGGCTGTTACTGGTATTTCTCACTGTTTACCTCCAGATGAGTCAGTATATACTTGATCTAATTCTATTTGTTGTTGTTCAAAGCTGAATTGACTGCAGAGACGTTCTTGTGTAGTTATTTTTTCTGGAACTGAAATAAGAGCTGTAAGTGTGATTTACAATTATTTCTGTATTAGCCCTTTTTTTCTTCTGACACAAGCATTTTGGTAAGATGTAATTTTGGACTGTGTACCAGACCATCTGTACTGGGGATAGTCTGTGACACAAAGAACATGAAACATTTCTAGAATTTTTTCAGTGAAATGAGCTTTAGAGCACTTTTGAGGGCTTTTAGAGCATGTGGAAGTGAGAAGCTATAGCCAAGCTAGCTCGTAGGTATCTCTCTCTAGTGCCAGAAGCAGTATAGCCACGGTAGCATGGCACTCCATCCAGGCTAGTATCATGGCAAAGCACCATGCTAACATGGTTATATTGCATCCAGTTCCCAAGCAAGCCTGTTCAGATTCAGCTCAGGTATCTCCCAACTCCCAACGGGTGCACATGTAGATGCCGTGCTGGGGAAAGCTTAACTGCACAGTAAGCGTAGAGCACATTAACAGCTTGTGTAGGTGTGCCCACTGAATAGCTGAAGCAAGATGTTACAGGAGCTCCAGTCAACACTGTAGGAGCACACCATGAAATGGCAGTGTTAGCAGATATATTTGCAGTCAATTTTTTTAATTGTGGACCAAATTAGAGAGGGATGATGACCATGCTCCATGCACCTGTGATATCAGTTACTCTGACTGTTTTATACTAGTTGCTAGGCTTTATCATTATTGCAACCAAAAGCTACAATCTGGAGTGGGGAGATGGAAAATCGAGAAGCAAAGGCGAAAGAGATGTTTCCATGGGAAATTTGAAATAGCTGGATTTGCAAATGACTAATTAGTGCTCATTAAGAGTTCCTTTTCCTTAAAGGTCTAATCCTCTAAGTTGCTTAGTTCCTCTTCAAGATAGTAGACTGCTCTGTAAGAAATTTTTCCCTGTAAATGTCTGGTATTGCTTAAATCAAGTTTAAGATGTCAAAATAGGGATTATCTGGAATTCAAGTGGTACTTTGATAAAATGTATCACTAGGCCCCTATCCTTTGTAAAGCAGGTTTAATATTTTTTGTGGACTAGAGGGAGAGAGGTAATGGTCTAAATAGAATTTAACATACTCTATTTCAATTATGTCATTTACAAGAATAAAATGGGCTTTTAGTATCATCAAACCTCCAGTTAATACCCTCTCAATCCAGAAGTCTTTCCTAGCATTAAAATGGTTACTGATCTTATCCTTTACTTTTCCTGATAGCTGGCTTCAGAACTCCAACCTAGTTCTGAATTGCTTTCACAACCAAGGCATATTTTTGTTCTCAGAATTTAAAACTCTCTTGTGATAAACTAGATTCATCCAGGCTGATGGGACTAGTGCACTTGACCCTTGCCACTCAGTCTGTCCTCTGAGTTCCCTCAACTCTAGTAACATTTCTATATATGGGTTTTCAGGGAAATGTGAACACAGCCTTAATCATCTGGATATTCCACAATAGCTTTAGGTTCAAGTCCTGTAACAAGACAAACACTTTTAAACTACTATTTATAATAAATCACGTAGTCTATTGCAAACAGAACCCTTTATCATCTATTTTACACTATGCATTCTTTCAAAAAGGGTTAAGAACATGCTAGTTTGCCTACTTTATTTGAGAGTATTTTTCCTTAATCTTTTTTTTTCAAAAGTCTTTTCGTAGAAAGTGCATGATTTATTTGAAAATGACTCTAATTCAAGGTTGTAATAACAAGACAGCTGTCTTTCTTGTTGATTTAGATGTTCCAGACATATTCTTACGCAAGAGCTCTGTAGATTTCATTTCCTTTATAAGTAATCTTGCTGCCAGGCATACCATCATACCGATTCAAAGGTTGTTTCTGGTGTCAGGTAAGTGGAGCATATTAAAACTGTTTGAAAATCTGTGTAGAAAATGATAGAGAGATGTAAAGTGAGTTATTGAATGAAAGTTCTGAATTTTTAATAATTATTGGAGTATTTTTATCTCACAATCATTCTATTTTAAGCAAAAGTTGTGCAGGATTTTTATATCTCTTTTCCAAGATTTTAACCTGTCCTTTTCCCAGCCTAAGTAAATTTGTCACATGGAAATCTTTCTCACTCGCAGAAATGCTTACCTGTTGCACACTGGTTTCTCTGTATCTTGTCAGCCTCATCAGCGTGTGCTCACTGAATAGCAGCTCTCTGATGCAGCCTAACTAGTAAACATTAATCCTTTTCAATGTATAAACCAAATATGATATTAAGGATCCTGTAGCCAGGTCCAATTTTTAGCCAACTGCTATGTTCTAATTGGGGCAAAATTCTGTTCTTATCTGGAGTAGTAAAAATGTTCATTAATGTATAGGAAGTTAATATAGATGTTTTAATAACAAACTTATCTTCTACTGTACTCTCTCACTACCGATACTGTCATAGATTAATAAACATTCATTATTTTACCTGCAGATTAGCGAAACCTAGTGAAATACAAAGCATTCAAAATTATATTTAATAGTGTTCTGTTTTTAAGAGGGTTTTGCTGATTGCATGGAAAGTCAAAAATTTGATTAAATGTGAATGTATTGCCGATTACTGCATTAAAATATTCACTCCCAAATGTCCTTTCTTTCAGCCAGAATTAGAAACATAATTTGTACAGAGGTAGATCCAGAGCAGGTGCAATAGCACAGCTGTACCCCGCTTTTGGGTTAGAATGAAGCACACTGTGGGAGCCTCTGGTGACTTTTTTTAAAAGTCCACAATGTACATTAAATCCCCCTCCCCCTGCTTCCCCTCCATGCTCAGAGACACATCCTCATCCTTCCTTTCTCCTTCCCCCACTTGCCACTGCTGCTTTCCTCACTGTCCAGGGGACAGAGGGAAACTTCAAAGCAGCTCCAGGCTGTGGGAAGACTAGACTCCACTGGAAACAGCCACAGCAGCAGCAATGGGTGAAGGGTGGTTTCCCCCACCCTTCCTAGTCCCCTGAGGAGAGGGAGTCCCCAGCCCATTGCCAATAATGCTGCTCCCAGCTGAGCCTGGCCTCTGCACAACATGACTGGAGCAGGCAGGAACAGCTTTGAAGCTTTTCCCTCCCCCAAGACACAGGGGAAAACAGCAGCAGCAGACAGAGGAGGGAATGTGCCTTTGAGCATGGAGAAGAATAGAGAATGATTCTTATATGCTTTAGGGACTCTTATAAAATCCCCAGAGACTAGTGGCATGGTGGTTGGGGGAAAGATGCTGAGAGGAAAGGGCGCAGCTACCCCTGCAGTGCAGGTGGCTGCTCCTGATCCCCCTCCTGCCAAATCCTGGATCCACCACTAAATGCATCCCCCTTCTGAAGTTAAACCTTTCTAACAAAGACCTTACCGCAGACTCCAGATGGAAGCAACAGGCACTTCCAGTGCCCCAAGCCACAAGGTCCAGAAGAGAGATGGTAACTTAGAAGCAGCAGGGCTGGAGGAAAGTACATGAACCTTCAGCATCTGAGCAGAGTTCTGTTCATTTCATGAAACACCTCTTCAGTTTCATGTATCTTGGCCCATAGGGAAAGGAAATATTGTCAGATCCACTGAACAGATGCTGATGGAGACATCAAGAACATTCATGCAGATGGCTCTAGCCATTACTTTGAGATCCAAATAGATTTTTCTGGCCTTTAAGATTTCAGTGTGCTTTTTATGTCAGATAGAACCTTTCACTTCTCACCCCCAGAAAGAAGAATGTGAAAGTAACTCTTAGAGGAACCACTTCATCTATCTTCATCTATCTTCTTGCCCCCAAATTCCTGCCACCGGTGTTCCCAGGACAAGTGCCAGTTGGACCCTGGCTTTTTTTTTCTTTTTTCTTTTTTTAATTTGGGGCTTTGAGGGGATTTTTAGGAAAAACACAGATGTAAATGCATTGGCCAGTGCAACAGCTTCAACCGGATCAGTTCAAATTTCTTTAACTTATCTTCTTACACGGACACCTCCAATCATTAGCAAAAAGGACTGTGAAAAATATTCAGTGATAGATTTAATATGTTTTAATAGTTATAACCTTTACCTCCTCTAAGAAATAAAATAAGTAAACATTGCTAAATGTTCACCTTACAGAGTCAGAAATGGAGAAACAATTTAAGACAAATTTAATGTCAAATGAGGAGCATGGCATACCACTGCATCCATTTAAAATGTAAGCTATTTGCTTAAAGACTAGGGAAAGACATTACAGATAAAGTGGTTTAAGTGATCAGAAACTGGTTTAAACCTGTAATAGAACAGATGTTCAGTGTACATAAACCAGTTTGAAAATGGCTGAAATTGGTTTGAGATAAATCGGGTTGAATGTGGTATCAGACTTAACTGATTTGGGTCAAATCAGTTTATGCAAGGTTTGTCCCAGACCCCTTGCTGGTTTAAACTAAATCAGACTCCCTCAGCATCCCAGCATGCTCTCTGGCCTGGGCGGGGCTCTCTGCTCCACAGCTGGGCTGGCCCTTCCCCTCCGTTCCCTAGCTGGAGCTTGGCAGAGACTGCAGACGTCTGCCTGGCTTCTGCTCCCATGCCTCCTCCCTAAGCAGGGATCCCCCATTCCTTCTGCCTTACACAGACCCACAGCATTAGCTAGAAGACCACATGCTGGCTATGGTCCGTGCTGTGGCAGGTGGGACAAAAGCAGAATCAACAGGTGGGGTCCCTCTGTTTTTTTCTTAATAGGGTAATAAACACTGAGTTAGGGATGATAAGCATTGTGTTATCAATTCCCTGCTGGGCTGGTCGGGGTGGAGGGAAGGAATCCCTCCCTAATCAGAGCATCCTGCAGGGGCCCTGGCCACGCCCCCCTCAGCTTAGCACTGTGGAAGGGAAGGGAGGGCTGCATCCTGCTATCACAATCCTCACTGAAAAAATATGATTAAAGAACAGCATTCTTAGCCCATATATCAGAAGCTGACATGAAGGACAAGGTTCTGCCATCCTTACTCAGGATGCCTTCCTCCTCAAGTGGTTCCATTAAAATACATTGGCCTATTTGAGAAATGAGATGCATTTCTGTGTGAGTAATGTTCTTCATATTTATAGTACTCAAATTCTAGAGCTTTAAAACTCTAGAATTTTGAAACTCCAGAGCTTTAAAAATTAAAATAACTGACTATAACTTGATGACAGAAAAGGAAGGTATTTAAATTCTTCTACAGGTAAACATTTCCTTGAAGAAGTCATTCTACATTTACAGTTTACAGTTATATCTCAGTGTAACAACCTTAAGTAATTTGCACTAAACTTTCACTTGGAGATTGTTTTTATTTGAAATGTATTTATTCTGTTTTAACGGACTTTTTGTCATTGACTTCATTGGACCCTTTTAATCCATACTATTTCTATATCTGCATGCATGTATACATATAATTTACATAAAATTGATTCTGCAGAAGCCTCAGGTCAAGGTCAGGTGTGATACAGATACAGGTGGAAGGAAGGAGGGAACAGTATAAAGGACAGGTAGAACTGAGGGGTGGTGGAGTTGAAACATTCTCTGCTCCTGCCACCTCTGCCATATGGAAACAGGGTGTGCTGGGGGCCAAAATGGCTCCGGATGCTCCTAAACAAGGAAGTAGCAGGTGCTTCTCTTCTGTTCCTGTTCAGTATCAGATAAATGGGAATAATTCCATTCCTTTAACCTTAGGGACATTTCCTGAGGAGCTGCCAAATCTCAGAGCAGTGGAGTTCTACAGTAACAATTCATAGGTACTTTGAGTTACTACTACCACCCCCTGCTGCTCAAAATATTTCTGAACCTTTTTCAGCTTCCTGCTACCTGTTCCACTCCTGAGGATGCCAACAAGTTCATTAAATTAACAGTGCATCGTAATGCCACATAATTTAATGTTGCTCTCCTACAGAATATGATAGCCCTCCTCGCATCATTTAAGTTGTTCTCTATAGTATTGTTGTTATCAGAGCTCCATCAGGCTAGGAGAACTTTGCTTCATTGTAGGCATGCATGAATATTATAATAAAAAGGGACAGAGAATACATTGATATTGACTTGTTTAAAGCTTGGCACCAAATCCCTCCTCATGTGGCTCTTTCCTGACCATTTGGGTCATTTTCACTATTCAGGAAGAGGCATTTAAAGATTCCTGGAGCTCTTGTAATAATATTGACAGTTCGATTTTATGTTAAATATCAACAAATCCTGGCTTTCAGTTTCCCCCTTTTTACTAGTTATTGTATTTATTTATGTATTTCCCTGGACTGCTTCATATATTCTCCATGCTTTAACAGCCATTGCATTCAGCAACTTAACTTTCCTCTCTGGGAAAAAGCCCTCAGGTTTCACTAATCATCAAATAAATCTCCCAGATTTAATAGCAAAACATTAAGAGCCTTGTCTTTTGTATGGCTGTTATTTACTTGTTTTTCTGTTCACACATTAAAGTGATCTTTTCTCTTAGTCTATTTTCATACAAACAGAACACACATTCACCCTTTAGTTGGGGGAGCAAATGTTAGACTAGGATCCACCATTTTTAAACCAGTCTACATGTGCAGAACTTCTGTTCTGTTACAGGTATAGACCAGTTTCCAATCACTTATACCAGAGGTCACCAACCAGTTGATCTCAATTGACTGGTCGATTGTGGAGCCTCTGAGAGTTGATGTCAGTCTGTCAGAGGCTCCATGACTGGGAGTGGCTGGACACACATGGTTGGGCTGAGCCACAGCACCTGCTGCCTGGGATGGGCTGGGCTGGGCTGGTAAATGGGGTCAGAGCCTGGGCAGCTTGTCCAGGAGGCAAGGGGAGCGGGACAGGAATGGGGTGGGGCAGGCAGGGGGGTGGTAGATCCTGGGATGCCAAAAAGTGATTTTCACCATAAAATGTTGGAGATCACTGACTTA